GGGGGTGGGTGGGGGGTGCAATGGGATTTGATTGCGGGGACCACATTCAGAGCTGATCTGAGATGCATTCAGCCACAGTCAAAGAACAGAATCGATGCAAATAGGTTCTGGGTCGTATAGAAAAGCTCATTTTCACCAGAGACGTGTTATGAACAGAATCGTTTGCCACCATTTCAGGACTGTGTCACAGTGTTTCTAAAAACTGGAAATCTGGAAGAAACACGTCTCTAATTCATCAGTCTTCATTCCACAAAAGAGAAGGGGTCACCCAGTGACACGGGTTTCTGTGTGACTGTGTGTGTGTGTGTGTGTTGGGAGGGGGGATCTATTCTGGCCTTGGCCCCTGAAATGCCTTGAAACGGCACTGGGTGTAGAGCTGAGTTTTGACGGTGATCTGAATTGTATCAAAGATATAAGTATTACATGCTTTTAAATTATTGCTTCACAAAGTTAAAAAGGTGTAGTGAGATAAATCTACCTATATTTTCTTTTTTAGACACTTCTCAAATGTTTTGTTTATTTGACTATTTTCCTGTCTGCCTCACCTTCCTGCATCTACTCCCAATCCTCCAGAAAAACTGCTGCCAGGCTTCTTATATTTTCACGTCACGAGCTACTTTTGAACCAAGCAGGTCAAAGAGATCTACCAAGTGCAATAACAGCGGAGTGCGAGCTGTGTAACGGCCACGCCTGCGAGGGGAAGCCCTTCACCCTTTTGGGCGAGCCAGGCTCCCTTTAGCTCCCCTGTAATTCGAACCCTGGGGTCACTCACTGAAATACAATAAAGTGCAGAGGTAATATTTTCTTTTATATGACATCAATGGATTAAATAAGGTGTGGGAGCAGGGCCACATCTTAACGTCATCTCTAATTACCCACAATCCTTAGCTAAGCTCCTCACCGCTGTTGTCAGGTTCTATCCTTCCTCACCCCCAACCAGTCACCATATCATCTCTTCCTCTTCGTCCCTCTTAGGCCTTACCTAGCTTCCTCCACATCCCTTCATGTCCATTCAGCCATTTGCCATTATGGCTTTCTGCTCATCCTGGGAGCCACCTGGGGGGTTGTACATCGGCTCTGGTAATCCAGAACCTGAATCCAGAACGCCCTGCGTCTCTGTTTCCTGACCTCCAGCATCAAGTCTCCTAGGACAAACCCATCAGAAACTTGTGATTCCCTCTCTTATGTTCCCTTTAATCATTCTCACCTGTAAACCCCATGCTGGTCCTGCTAGTGAACACACTATTACTGCCTGATAACCTTGTTTTTTTAACGCTCATCAACATTTCACAATAAATGTTTTCAGGCAGCTCTAAACCCTTTAATTACCTTTACTAATGTCCAGTCCTAGTTAAGGCCCGCTACACCCCGTATGCTCGTTTGCATTACAATCCAATAAATGTTCATTTAAGAAGAGAGACGACGGACAAATATCCAAGATTCAACAGTATTTGGATTTCAGCAATTAAGTTCAATCAAACCAAGAGGCATCGACTTTCCGCACAAACACCTGCACATTTCCAACCTGCATGTTTCCATAGAAGCAGCATTTAGATGACACATGTGATCTACTCCGTGCCGGTGCGCAGCTATCATCGAGAGCTGTCGAATCTTAATCCGTTCACAGCTCATTCAGGCGCCACAGCCAGCACTCAGGACTCAAAGGTGGGCCAAACGTTTGAGCGTGAGGCCAACATCAGTTAGACTTAGTGGGTATTAGGCCCTGCAATCTCCATTTCACGAGCACCTGGTCTATAAACACTATTGATTTTCACACTGTGCTTTTCGGCACTTGTATCTAGTGGATTGCGGATTATCACTGGAGTGACTGGTAATGAATAATGATGCAGAGTTATGAGGGGATTCTTTTTTCCCCGATATGAGTAAAACTGTAACGACGGGTGAGCGCTGCTGAAGGCCGGGAAAGTGTCTTAAAGAACATTTTAAATGAGAGAAACCAAGCCGAGGCTACAGCAGGGCCAGGAGGCAACGTAACATATTTATTTAGGTGTTTGCCTTATTCTCGTTGACATCTGAGATATTAGTTCAATCTGAAAAGCAGCAAATTTTCTAACAATTGGATAACGGAAATCTGATTTGAAACGATTTTTCTGTAATGCCGTAATGTGCTTCTCTTTCGTAACTAGCAAACATATTTAAGTGTGGAACATAAAACTTTCAACCCAGGCTATTAAGCTGCAATTTCAGGATAACAATTGGAACCTTTATCTCACCCAAAAAAACACAATGTTCTACACTCGCACACCCGAGAAAAAAAATACAGCGCCATTACCTTGAACGACTTCACTGTAAGCTACTTTGATAGGCGTGATCCAGAAGGTGTTTTGGTTTGTTTCACTGAGGGAGACACCATTAACAACACACAAGAAGAGTTCAGGAGCACTGATTTTTGATCATTTTCAAAGATGTTTCATAGTAGATTTTCTTCACATTTTCAGCCAGTTTAAGTGTGTGTTTATGTAAATTTAAATAAATAATGTTATTTAATACTGTTCTGAAATTACCTCTGAAGAAAAAACATTTAACGGTACAAAAAGTAAGAATTTTACAGTGAAATAATGACAAAACAGACTAATGTCTCAATCATGTTGGCAGGAAGGTTACGTTGAAACAGATTTCCTTCTCAGCTGGCTGGGGAGTTGTAAGTTTTTCTCCTTTAAAAAGGCCAAAGAGGGACATGGTGTTTGTTTACACTCTGTGAGACCGCGTGGTTGCAGAGTCTGTGCGAGCTTAATTTGCAGCTCCGGCATTTGTAATTCGACACCAGCAAGCAAAACGCAGCAGCGTTGTTTAAATAACCAAAGCCAGTAAACAGGAGCAACCCAGAAGTTATTTCTTAACTTTATTTTTTTTTTACTTATTTTAAAGCCGCTATGGCAAATCTGTAAAGCAAGCTAGTTTTTAAATACAAACACGTCCACCTGATACTGGAACTTGAATTGCCAGATGGAAAGAGAAAGCGCTAAACAACAGCTAACGTTTTCTAAGTCCAAATGTCTTTTGTTTTCCGCAGCTTCAAATGGTGTTTTTCTTACTGGGACTAATGCATTTACCCAGGTAAATGTGGAAGTGCAGACACTTGGTGAGACAGACAAGACAGTCCAATAGTTGGCTTCGGTCCGAGCCATGTTATTTTAGACAAACACATAAAGCTTGGTTTATGCTTGACGCATTCACTTTCCGCGCGGTGATGCGGCTCGCGGCTGGAACGCGCTTCACAACTCGCAGCGTTTATGGTTTGTGCGGCTTGTCTCTGCGGTGAGCCAATATTCTCCCAAACTGAACGGGGCAGCATGAAGCTCTACGGCATGCATCCAACTCTACACCATAGTAGAAGTAGAAATTACTGTTTACAACATGACATTTCAGCATTTTTAACAGCGTTTTCATCTTTTCCGACAGTGCGAGCTATTTCTCTCCAAGAATTATTAACAGCATGTTGATCACGGTGATCTCTGAGAGCTGAATCATACAAATGTCTGTATTTACGAACCTCTGCTGTACTAGTTCTTGCCGGTCCGCCATGTTTTTCCACGTCCGTCCGCGTGGTTAGAAATTTTCCGAGGTGCGCGTTGCGGAATTTCTGGGCCGTGCGGAGGCGCGGTGGAGGGGCGTGGTTGTTAAAATGACGCAACTTTTCCGCGCGGAGCCATGCGGACCTCGCGGACGCGTCAAGCATAAACCAACCTTAAGAACCATCTCATAATTTAAATTCATAATTTTACCTCCACAAAATATTAATAGCTATACTATGTGTTATGGAAATTTTATATGTCATTGCTTTAGTCCTGTTAACTAATGTCCTGAAGCATTCTCACACTCAGACACACCCACACACTGTTCTTCGCCTACACTCATACACACACTGACTCTCTCCTCTCACAATGACCTCACTCCCATCTTTATCTCTTTGTTTAAGTAAACTCTGTGATCAGATGTTCGAGGCATTTTGCCTCGTGCATGCTCCACAGTTATAGCTGGTTGACTTGTCTGCTCATTATCTCCTTCTCTCTCCACTGCAGGAAATGGGTTTATTGATAGACATATTGATAAAATCCATGACACTATGTTAGAACGTTGTTAAGAGTCTAGCTGGTTTTGCTGAATTGCTGAAAATAGCGTTTTTTTAGCTCCGTTTACTTGCATTCATTTTTCTGTTCTTCCTGGGACCCATGAGCCGACCGGAAAGGGAGGAGACTTATGGGCCATTCCTATCTGTACCGGGTCGGCCCGGGCCGGGAAGCGTAGGTTGTTTACATATCTGGGTGGCCTGGTATTTTTCCGGGCCAACCAAGGCTCATTCTCAGCCCTCTTCTCGAGGTGGTCTGCTTCAGGCCGACCAGGGCCAACACACCCACTGCTGACAGCAAATTCACACCTTCCATTAGAGCAAGCCTCTGATTGGTGGGTAGAATCAGCCCACATGGGCCTAAGGCAAGGATGTGTGGAATCAACCGGGCCAGGCTGGGGCCGACTGGGGCTACCCAGCTCGGGCCGACCCGGCACAGATGGGAATGGCCCATTTGGCTCCCTACGCAACAGAAACCAGGCTATGGGATGGCGTGAGGCTCAAATTTGCAACACTGAGATGAAGGAGGACCCCCCTCCTCCAACAGGTGTTGGTACGCTTCTTTTTTGTGCGCCCTAGCAAGATTACGATGTTCACGCCAACACAAGAAACCACAGGAGGGCTGAAAACTGACCAGGGTTGGGAAAAAACAAACAAAATGCTGCAGGTGTGAAAAGCCCTAGGACTAAGGTGTGTCGTCTTGAAACAGATTTGTTCTCCAAAATTTCACAGCAGTTCATGCATCAACTTTACATCAAATGGCTATTAACATAGATTTTTGTGGTTTCATTTATTTATTTTTACAAAAAATAAAGTCACCAGCAGCAAAATGTAGCACAGATACGACTGAGGGCAGTAAATCATAAAATCTTTAGCTAAACACAGCAGGATGACTAGCTGAGACTCTTACCAGAACCTGCAGCAGCGATGTACCGACGGGTGTGTTTTCAGGATAGCTGATGTTGTACAGCGGTTGGCTGAAGATGGGACGGTTATCGTTCTCATTGATTAGATCAATAAAAACACGGGCAAAACCCACATGCTCAGCCAACGACTCATTGGCATACAGCTGGAAAGAAAAAAATAAACAGAGTGAAATATTATTTGGGTTTCTCAAGTAAAACTAACAGGTCTGAGAAGATTTTTTGCTAAATCAAAAACCAAAGAACTGCACATTTAACTCACTGAAAAGCTGAAGCTGCGGATGGTTTCGTAGTCGAGCGGCATAGCAACCCTGACCCGGATGTCGGCACGTCCTTGTACTGATGTAGGGGAGATGGAGAAGTACTCAGAGTTGTTTCCTGTCATGTACACTTGGAACATACTGTTCACCCCCTGTTACAGACCAGAAACCGAGACACAGAGAAATGTTAGAAAAACAGCAACAAAAACACCAGATAAGATGGTTTTAACCACTTTCTGTAATAAAGGGGTATAAAAGTTAACTCATTCACTACCAATGACGACTAAAGTCGTCATTTGCAATGTTTTAACTGTGTGGGCGTCGGACGAGCCCCCACACCGTGAGAACAAACATCTCAGCTCTGAAGCCGATCTTCATCCGCGTACATCACACGTCACATGATCAGGAAGCAGAAAATCCATATGTTAGGAGATCGTTTTGGGTCGCTGCTGTAAAAAAAGTGAGGCTTGAACCGGAAAAGCTTCTGCCGATTACAATTCAACAACGTATTATGAAAGAATGGATAATGCTCAAAATGCGCGGATTCTTCCTGATGTAAGAGGTGAGTCTCCTCTTTGTTTTGGTTGTTTTGGTGTCGACATCATCCTAGCACACAACGTTCTGTGACTCTTAAAAAACAGTAAAAACGGTGAGAAACGCTGGCAGCGAATGAGTTAAGAAGCCACAGCATCTTTTTGTTTCACTCTAATGTCGAGTGACGCAGGCCAGAGGCTAATGTTGAGCTAACAATGCTAGCGGTGAAGTAGCAGAAAATTGTCAGCTCCAAAAATATCTCAAGCTCTTTTTCAAAGAAAGAAAACAATCTTTTATGTAGCCTCTCAAGATAAATATGAGGCGCTTCACAAGAATGACCAACAACTCAATATTACAGTGAAATGTGTGAGGTTAATGATGAGTCAATTGTGGCGTTTTACTTCCTTCAATGAGTCGTTCAGAACTATGAGAAGCAGGAGAGCTGAAGCGCTCAACTCTGACGACAACATCGCGTTGTTATTTGCATCATTAAAATATTTATACTCATTTGAGTGCTCAAGTTCATCGTTAACGTCCTCCAGCTGTAGAGCACCAACTTGAGTGGATGACACGCAGTTTTTATCTTCGTTCAGTACTATAGACCCTTTTACTACATACGTCATCAAAAGTTGCGCGTGCAGCCTGGCAACGAGAGTGAAGGCTTCCTCATTCACACTCGATACTAAAACAGCGTTTTAAACCCTTTGTTTTGAAGTTCTGAGCACATAAAAATGTCGGGTTGTTGCGTGTATGGATGCCAGAATCGCTTCTCTTCAAGCAGTGGACTGAAACTTTACAGAAGTCCGAAGGGAGCACATCCATTTCAACAAAATCGGAGGCGTCTGTGGCTGCAGGCCATCAAAAGGGTTGATGAAAACTGGACGGAAAACACGATCCGAAATGCTCGAGTTTGTAGCGCCCATTTTATATCAGGTAAGGTAATTATGTAAGGTTACATATAAATTTATACGCTTTATTTCATGCTTCAAATTAACATTTCGTTCTAATTCATCTGTATTTTCCCACTGCATATTAGTATAAACTGTATTTCTCTAAAATTAACACGATTGTACTCTGAGCACGCTAAAGAAAGAAACCTATGCTATACTCACCCTGCCATGCAGGTACAGTTGGCTGTGAAGACGTAGTTCTCTGGTTTGTTTACTACGACCCAAGCCTCGTACATAGCAGTCTTGTGTCCTTGTCTTTGGCTAGGAAGGACTTCTGCCTTCAAGATGCAAAACTCAGAGTTTATGTCGTGATATTTTACTTTCTGTACGTGGCCACAGACAACATAGTTGTATGCATCTAACGATTTGTATGCCCGTATCTTCTCACGTGTGTACTTACTGGGCCTCTCCACTGAAAACGTATATATATCTGGCCACTGGATATCTGGCCACGCACCTACATCTTCCACCCATTCCGTAAAGCCACAGGGATCCGGGAGTCTGTTGCCATTCGTTAAAGTGAGTTTAATAATATAACATTCAAGATTTGCCGATGATAACCCCGCAGCGTAGCTTGACACAACGCCATTCTCTGTTGCCAAGCTGCGCGCGCATTCTCGCTGACGTCATATTGTTTACAAACAGTAAAAGGGTCTATAACAGCAAGCTAACCTCTAATGCAGCAGAAATATTACCATAATAATTATAGTAGTAATAGTAAGTGCTCGCTGCCGTAAAACTCCCAAGAGCGGTAGCACCAGATATGACGAGGTATTTATCTACTTATCAACTTTCTGTGTATGACTTGTCTTCATCATCTAGAATCTGCTGATGTTGATCTGTAACTGGCAACAGTCATGATACTCACTCAGTGGCAGTGTTAGTAACCTTCTGCTTAGAAAAATGGACAGCAGTACCCACATTTGACCACAGGATATCACTCTTACTTCATTAAAGATTTTTGGGCCCTTATCAGTCATAGTCCATTAGAATAGTCTGAACCTCCCCCCGGTACGGCGCCCCTGTGTATGGTACAGCTAAAAGAAAGGATGTGGTAAGAATCCACAACGTGATAACACCAACTAAATGTAATCTAAAACAGGTTTAACAAGACAAAGACCAATTTACACTCCGTGATCACACCAGGGGCGGATTTAGGACTGAAGAAGATCCGGGGCTTAACACACGCGCGCACACACGCGACACGCACTAGTCAACATCATATATATATATATATATATATATATATATATATATATATATATATATATATATATATATATATATATCTTGTACCACATAATTATTAATCTGAAGCTACATACAGTATTAAGCGTATTCAGGGCAGAGTATTGTTCCTGTTGGTGTTTAGTGTGAGATGATAGTAAATATTCCCTTTCTTTCTCCAAAAACTTTACCTGATAGTAAGCTAACTTTAGGCAAACCAGCAGCACAACAAATATTTTCAAATAAGACTCACAAACCTGAGTCAACACCAGTCTCATCAAAGCTGGGGTTCTGTCGTTGTACTTTTGGTCTAAAAACATCCTTATGTCCATCTTCACTCATGCGTTTCAGGCAGAGAGTGTAGAAGAAGCCGGCTGCTGAAGGGCTTCTTCTTCAGTGGTGGAGGCTCAGGCAGGCTGTGTACAAACTACTGCCAGCTGCGCCCTCTCTGTTGGACTTTGGTACTGCATGTTACTTCCGCGATTTAGATCCGGGGCTTATCATGAAAGATCCGGGGCTTCAGCCCAAGTAGCCGGGCCTAACGCCGCCCCTGGATCACACATTTATCTCCTCTTTACCATATTACCCAGCACCGTACGGTCTTTGGACTGCGCTCGACTGCAGCAGGATAAACTGCTTACAGAGCTGAATAAAGTAGGTTGGACTGAACGTTCACCAAGCCGGTCAAGACCAGTAAACCTGTGTACTTTATTCATCATATTGTGTAATTTGTTGGAGAAAAAGAGGGCCTGAGGTGATCCATCATGACAACCATGACTATCTGCCTCAGCACAGAGACACGCTTCTGCATTTCTGCTTCAACTCACGACCACACAACTCGCCAAGACGATGATTGTCATTATGCACATTATGTAATCATGGAAGTATGTTTTAGATGAACAGCTGGAGTGAGATAACCAGCTTAACACTGTTTGATAAGAGATTAGATGAAATTCTGTGGAACAGTAGGAAACAAAAAAAATCTTATACGTCTCCTTAAAAGATACATCTGTAACAGTAAAGGCATCACGGGGAAATCTAAACCATGCAGTGTGACATCACTGCACAGAAATAACTGTGGCTGTCTTGAGGTAAGAAAACATCACCAAAGCACTCCGGTGCTGATATATGAAGCTGCAGGGCAGCCAATGATGCAGCCATTGTAGCGGACAGAGGAAGACGAGTGGAGTGGTCGATTGGCATTATGCTGACAGCTGAAATAGCCCCCTTGTTTTTGTTTTCATCTCTGGGAGAACCATTGTAGCTGATGACTCCTATTTAAAAGACCATCCAATATGCAGGGATGTCACCTCAAACCGCCCATAAACGTAATTGCCCGTCAATGTGGTTCTGCCTTTAGAAGCCCCCGATAAAAGCATCCTGTCAGACACGACTGCCACAAACTTCAGTGACAAGTTCTGGCAGTAAAAGTTTTGAAGATGCCGGGTGAGCACGGGAAAATGTGAAGGCAGCATCGCAGAAAGAGAAGAGAGGTAGGAAGGGAGGGAGGGGAATCTTGGGAAACTAATATGTGGGCCGGAGAAAAAAAATACCTGGTTTTGTTCCTTACAAAGTAAAATCACTGTTTGTGTGTAATCAATGACATGCAGACTAAAACAGAAATATGTTAATTTTTGATTTTGGTAATGTCACCTTTGGGACAGCAGTAGCTCAGGAGGTACAGCGGGTTGTCCAGTAATCAGAAGGTTGCAGGTTTGATCCCGGCTCCAGACAGAGAATTCTGCAGTTGTGTCCTTGGGCAAGACACGTAACCCATCATGCCTGCTGGTGGTGGTCAGAAGGAGCGGTGGCGCCGGTGCTCGGCAGCCTCGCCTCTCTCAGTGTGTCCCAGGGCAGCTGTGGCTACATTGTAGTTCATCACTTCCAGTGTGTGAATGTGTGTGTGAATGATATGCAATAGTGTAAAGTGCTTTGGAGTCCTCTGACTGTGAAAGGCGCTCTACAAGTGCAGGTCATTTATCATGAGGCCAAGTGTATTTTAAGATGTTGTATTAAGGAGGATAAATCACTTTGGCTGCTAGTCCTGTTGCATACGCTCTAGAAAGTTCTGGAGACTGAGCAGATGAACTGCAATTAATTGCAAAGGCCCTGTTTTCCATGAATATACAGTGGGGCAAAAAAGTATTTAGTCAGCCACCGATTGTGCAAGTTCTCCCACTTAAAATGATGACAGAGGTCAGTAATTTACATCATAGGTACACTTCAACTGTGAGAGACAGAATGTGAAAAAAAATCCATGAATTCACATGGAAGGATTTTTAAAGAATTTATTTGTAAATCAGGGTGGAAAATAAGTATTTGGTCACTTCAAACAAGGAAAATCTCTGGCTCTCACAGACCTGTAACGTCTTCTTTAAGAAGCTTTTCTGTCCTCCACTCGTTACCTGTAATAATGGCACCTGTTTGAACTCATTATCTGT